ACTGTGGGAATGTTTTCTGCACTAGCTGCTGCGACCAGAAGGTGGCGGTGTCGAGTCAGAAGCACGTGTGTCAGGCGTGTTACGCTCACCTGCGGCCCTCCGCCGTCCCTCCGGCGCTCCCCCCCGCCGAGCTGGAGCTGGAGAAACCCATCACCGCCAGCTCCAACTGAACAAACCCGCTCGACGGAAACGAGCTTACTCGCTCAGAATGACTGGCTTCTGTGCAACACTAAACCAGATGTTTAGCATCTGGGCTCGGATTCAAATTTCTTACAATTCTAAGAAGTTCAAAAGTGCAATTCATGAAAAAATGCAACTATTTTCTTAAGAACCTCTTATTTTTTTCTTAAGGGGAGACACTGGGGGCAAAAGCACTGTTTTTTCACGCACCTGTCAATTTTGAGATTTTATAGTGTTTTTTCAGACTAGTGGAAAGAAAACATGTTAAGTGTTTCTTTTATAGCACTTTATCTATTTCTGTCAATACATTTCAATTACAATACATATTTTTAAAGGCCGTTTTCTCAAAAATGAGTTTTTTCTCCTACACCGAGCCATGAATCTCCACTTCAGCAGCACTTACACACACCAAACTAAACATTTTTATTCCTATAGTCTATATCCTGAAAGTTTTTACAGAGGGATTTGTTCATATATCATTTGCTTGATTATATACAACATGTTATTCCCCCCAAAATTGTGAAAATATATAGTTTTCTGGCTGTTCAAAGTATTTTCTGAATTATGGAGTGACAAAAAGAGATCCCTCTGTAAAAACATTCGCCTCTAATATGTAAAAAAAAAATAGAATTTTGAAACTGACTTCATCCAGTGTTCAGATTTTTGTACTAGAAATATATGCAAATTAGCGCATATTTCATTAAATAATCCCTTATTTGCATATTTAAACATAACATTTTAGAAAACTTGTAATACAAAAATTTTTTGCAATTATCAATGTAATCAATCAGCTGGGTAAGTAAGGTGATAATTAGTAGTAAATTTTTTTACCCTATTCACCGGCAGTGTCTCGCCTCGAGAAGAAAATAAGCTTCATTTGTTGTTTTCAGATCGCATGACCTTTCTTGCCAAAAACACCTCGTGCAACACTGTTTTCGGCTGGATTCATGAAAACATGCTTAGGAAAGAAGTTCAAATGTTTAAGATCGATTCCAAGAAGTTCGGAAGAGTCACAAAAACCTTCTTAAGAGAGAAGTTAAGTCATGAGCGTTTCCAATACGTTTGTACGATTCACTGAAATCGGTAGCGCTTTATTTTACAGTCCTGTTCCACGTGTGCATACTAATTATACAATTACATAATAACTAGGTGCTAACCCTGAACCTAAACTAAACCTAAACTAAACCCATGCAAGTACACGGAGTTTACACAAATTTAAGACATTTCAAGTGCATACAATTCACGCAAATATCCTTAAGATACATTTCAACAAGTTTGTAAGATTCATGAAAATCCTCTTTAAAAGATGAGTTTAAGATATTTTAACTCCGAGAAGCTCGTGAGATTCACAATAATCATAAGTTAAGATATTTCATAAAAATGCTCTTAAATGCAGTTCTCAGATATTTTCTAAATATCTTTTTCTTTCTAAAGAAGAAAATGACGGATGCAATGTAATCTGCAAGTGTTTATTGGATCGTATGGCGGTTCTTGCAAAAATCTTAAAGTTAAGACATTTCATAATATATTTCATAATATGAATTCCAGTACGTTTGTAAGATTCATGAAAATCTTCGCATTTTTTAAGATAAATGCGTACGAATGTTATTTAATGCATTCCTTGAATAAATTGAATATAGACGTTTTTTTTTAAGATAATTGAATTCATCTTTATTGCGTTCTCATATGTGCTGATTGCTGCCGAAAATGATCAAATTAAAATTGTATTCATTATAAAATTAAAAAAATGGGGTCCCTAATTTGAGTTATTAAATTTTGATTAATTAAGCATCTTACCTTTGGGCATTTAAAACTAGTTGGAGGTTATTATTTTTTAATTAAAGAAACGTGTGATTATTTTTAAACTTTAAAAGATTATTTATGATGATTTTTTCAGGAAGTCAAATTCTTAAGAAAATATAAAAATATAATATTTTCAGGAATGCAAGTTTATTCTTAGGTTTGAAAATGAGGAGAAAATATTGGTTAAGAATTTTACTCTTAAGAATATTTCGTGAATCCGGCCCCTGAGCTTCTGTTGTGGTTATTGTGATACGTGACCCCGGAGCACAAAACCAGTCATAAGGGTCAATTTTATGAAATTGAGATTTATAAATCATCTGAAGCTGAATAAATAAGCTTTCATTGATGTATGGTTTGTTAGGATCGCACAATATTTAGCTGAGATACAACTATTTGAAAATCTGGAATCTGAGGGTGCAAAAAAATCTAAATATTGAGAAAATCATCTTTAAAGTTGTCCAAATGAAGTTCTTAGTAATGCATATTACTAATCAAAAATGAAGTTTTGATATATTTATGGTAGGAAATCTACAAAATATCTTCATGGAACATGATCTTTACTTAATATCCTAATGATTTTTGGCATAAAAGAAAAATGTATAATTTTGATCCATACAATGTATTGTTTGTTATTGCTACAAATATCCCCCAGCGACTTAAGACTGCTTTTGTGCTCCAGGCTCACATCTGGTCATGCTTCAAATAGTGCACTATGTTAGCTTTAATGTAAATGTAAATGAGAGTTGAATTTGGCTCACCGTCCTTCAGTTGCACGGAAAGCAGGAGCTCAGATGTTCTTCAGACGTGTTGCACTGAAGAAAGAAACTCTGACGTAACGAGTAAACGATGAGAGATCTTCCTGTAGGACACGACTCGCCTAATCATGCTCTCCTGAATCCTGATCGATCCGGTCTGAGGAGCACACTTGAATCTGTGTATATTAGATCTGTATGTATATCATGTCACGTGTACAGCCAATGTAATGAAAGCTCGACGGACTGAATGGATGAACTCCAGCAATATATGCACGGGATCTTAAATCAGGAAGATCTGTCTGATCTGCTGTCGCTTCGCTGAGGAAATCTCCCACAATGCTGCTGTGTTGGACAGAGCTGCTGCCGTCGCTTATGGAGACGTTTGTGTGAATGAAATTAAAGCACAACACACTGCCAACCTGATCCACGGCTGTCTGATTTTTTGTCATGATCATATTCAATCCATCAAGACTTTTATGGCTCATAGAGTCTGAGAATATGGAGGAAAAACTGGAGCAAAAATATGCAATTTATATGATGAAATTCTGATGCTTGTAATATAAATCAATGAGGTCTTTCTAACAGTGCAGCAGATGCTGACATAAAATGATCTAAATATCAGTCATCGCTCAATATCTGCAGTAATATGTCTCGGTAAGATGAGATTGAACTGATCCAAACATATAATGCAGTGATTGAGAGCTGAAGAAATAAACATTAATCATTAAGAGCCTGATGAAAAACATGAACACAACAATCAGCTTAATATTAAATACCTAATATATATAATTTAACTGCAATGTTATCAATCCACTTCCCACGTGTGGTGGATCTATATACCACAAAAATACATTTCCCGGACCCTCCTAAACAAATTTACACCTTAATCCGCCAATGTTCAAACCAAATTAGGGTTATTATCATTAAACTAAAACATTCAGGAAAAAAAAAAAAAAGTTACTTGAAATAAATGTCAACTGAATTAAAATATTTTAAAAAATTGCTCTGGCAAAAACAAAACTTTCAGCTAGCCGCCAAAGCAACATTTCTCATTTTCATTTAGTTTAACTTGAATAATATTAAAATGAATAAAAACTATATTGACAGATTTAAAATGAGTAAAATTGAAAATATAAAAACTAATTCAAAATATCAGTAAAAATATAATAGCATCTTAATGATTCTAAAATAACACTGAACCAATTCTAGGCCCTCATGTAGAAATGAAAATCTGTAAATCTCTAAATTCTCTTAACTTGGACATTTATATTAGTTCTTATGGTAATATTTGTAGTGCCATATTGATGGATGTGGCTTTAGTATAATGGGTCATTCCCTGTCAACTCATCCAGAGGTCCCCGGCTCAAGCTATTTATTTATATTTTAAGATTGATTTTGTTACCCAGCTGCATCATGTCATTTTTACACAGAGACAGGTAGGTCTATTCATAAAATCTGCTGACTTTAATGATCTTTGTTGCATTTCGTGCCAATGGTGACAAAAAGGCACTTTAAGTTTGCATGCCTGTAACTATCAATATTTTAATGCTCTTTTAGATAGTAGGTCTTAAACTTTCCTTTTGGCATCTCCATTTTTAAGGCCCTTTATGGTTCAGAGATATTGCAATTTTAATATGGCTCCAGGAGTAAACGGTTAAGTTGCACACATTTTCAGTGGCCAAAAACCAAATTGCATTCAGCTGATACTTTTCTTCTTTTAAAGAGGAATGTCTGGAGAATAAATAATGTTGAAACTGGAAATGTATCTTGTTTCCTTCTCTTTTCTTTTGAGATCTTCATTTTCAAAGCCCTACTTCATTGACTCCAGAGATATGAGGATCTCAGTGCAGCTCTGTAGTATTAAAACTAGAGCAGACTCAACATGAAATCAAAACAGACTCTTTAGTTTCTTAATAAACACTCCTGGTCTCATTGTTACTGATTCAAGCCATTACAAAGTTCATCCTCGTGATCTTCCATCAGAACCTAATAACTTGCTCCACTTCAGAAACCATCTCATCCTACATTTATTCTCACTGAACATTGAGTTTCACCTGAAAACGTTCTGAAAGCACAGAAAAACTCAACAAAGATGCAGAGGCTCAGATAAAGATAAACTTTAGTTTATTAGTGGCTATAGATAATGCTATCGGACCATAATCATAAAAAATGAGAAAACAAGAAAGGCTACATCATCTCTGGTTAAACATCAGCGTCGGGTTACAGGGAACGGAGATGAGAAGCAAGAACAGAACAAACCCGTCACAACATCTCCATGCGACAGAACGAGACGTCAGCGAGCGGATGAGGCCAAACCATCGCCAGCTTGATTCCAGCTAAATGAGCCACTCTGAAGCAGTTTCGGACGATTTAAATGAGTTTCTCACATTCGGTATTTTTTTGCTTAACAAAAATAGACCCGCCTCATTATTCGCTTCTTATAAAAAACATCACGTGAGCGTATTTACAAGATTAGCGTGACATTCTGGAGGTTTACGAAGATTCCCTTTCCGTCGAGACGGACGCTACGCTGTCGCCGGGGATTGTGGGAAAGAGCGGGAAGGAAGAGGAGGAGACAGAGGGAAGGACAGGAAAATTGAGACGAACGACAGGCAGAACTGTGCGTGTGTGTGTGTGTGTGAGAGAGAGTGTGAGTGTGAGTGTGTATGTGTGTATGAGAGAGACAGTGTGTGTGTGTGTGTGTGTGTGTGTGTGTGTGTGAGTGTGTGTATGTGAGTGTGTGTGTGTGTGGTTTAGTAAACGCTGGCCGGATCGGTGTGTGATGGTCTGTGTTTGTAAGGCCTGGTGAGCAGGACGTTGTGCTGAGAGTTTCCTCATCCAGACGGGATCGGATCTGTTCTTCACTGATGACTCTTACACTGACGACTGATCCCACACCTGCTGGACACACAAACACACACATTCATCAAAACCTGTCTACTGCATGCCTTCTGTCTCTGATTGATAGTTTAGAGTTTTTAATCAAGTCAAAGCTCTCAATCAGCACTGCATTATATGTTTGGATCATTTCAATCTCATCTTACTGAGACATATTACTGGAGATATAGAGATGACTGATATTTATAGCAGTATACACTGCCGTTTCAAAGTCTGGGATCAGTAAGATGTTAAGTAAGGGATAATGTACATCCAGCCGGTTGTTATCGAGGGAAAACAGACCTCAGAATTAAGTATTCCACAGAGCCGTGTGATAACATTTTTTAAAGAAGTCTCTTCTGCTCATCAAGGCTGCATTTGTTTGATCAAAAATACTAAACAGTAAAATTATGAAATATTACTATAATTTTAAATATGTTTTCTATGTGAATATATGTTAAAATGTAATATATTAGCTGTATTTTCAGCATCATTACTCCAGTCTTCAGTGTCACATGATGTTCAGAAATCATTCTAATATGATGATTTGCTGCTCAAGAAACATTTCTGATTATCATCAGTTGAAAACAGAAAAAGAATCCTGAAAAAAGTATCACAGGTTCCAAAAAATACTGTATGTATGAAGCAGCTTCCAGTTTCCAGCACTGATAATAAATCAGCATATTAGAATGATTTCTGAAGATCATGTGACACTGAAGACTGGAGTAATGATGCTGAAAATTCAGCTGCACATCACAGAAATAAATTAGATTTTACTATATATTCACATAGAAAACAGCTGTTTTAAATTGCAATAATATTTCACAATATTACAGTTTTTTCTGTATTTTTGATCAAATAAATGCAGCCTTGATGAGCAGAAGAGACTTCTTTAAAAAACATTACAAATCTTTTGACTGGTAGTGTAATATAAAATAATAAACCTTATTTATATATATTTTATGCATTTCAAGTCAAATATATTTGTATGCCACTTTTCACAATACACATTATTTCAAATTTGATTTACATAAAAAAAAAAAACATTACAAGCATCAGAATTTCATCATATAAATATCAGCATCTGCACCAGATTCATATTTTTGCTCAATCTGGGACTCTTAATTAAAATGAGCTGTTTTTTTCTCCATCTACAATAGAATTTATAATATAAAAATGTTCCACTGAAAGGGAAGTCATTGATCATGTTTACACTGGTGTTTTTGATGAGTCACTCTGAATTTCAAACATTAGACTGCTGCTAAACGTCTCAAATGAGCCTTTAATGCATCATCGTGAGTGTGTGTGTGCGTTTGTGAGTTTGAGTGTGTGTGTGTTTGAGTGTGTATGTGTGTGTGTGTTTGAGTGTGTATGTGTGTGTGTGTTTGAGTGTGTATGTGTGTGTGTGTGTGTGCCGGGTGACCTCTCCCTGCGCAGGTCCATGACACGTCCCGGCGAGCGGTCCAGCCGAGGGTCCATCATCCTGCCGGGGGACCGCTCCAGCCGGCCCGGGGACTTCTCTCTGTCCAGGGGCCGCGCGGGAGACTTGTCCCGCCTGAACTCGGTGCGAGCCTCGCGGTAGCGGTGGGGCGTCCCGGGCTGGTGGAGACCCTCCTGTACAGCGGGCATAGCAGCCAGACGCTTGGAGATGTGCTCGTTGTAGGTGGGAGGGCCGCGCTTGTTTGGGCTGCCAGAAACCGGGAAGAAAGAGTCAAAGTCAGTCGCCTTCATCGAGAGCAGAGAAATACACCAGCTTCCAGCAAAATACCTCAAAGTTGTGTTCAGCTCAGCGTCTTTTAATAGTCAGTTTCTTTCATTTACACTATTTTCAAAGCAAATTCATCAGCGAAGATGATTTTCATAGGTTATTTTACAATAATGTACCATGTAAACAATGTAATATTAGCTATATACTATATGTTAGCTACATTTAATGTTACAACTGTATATATGAGTAGTTAGAAATGCAGATGTTATTTGAAATATGAATAAAACTCATACAAATACAGTAGTTTGGGGTCAGTAAGATATTTTTCTGAAAGAAATTAGTACTTTTATTCATCAGGGATGCATTAAATTGATCAAAAGTGACAGTAAAGATATTTATAATGTCACAAAAGATTTCTATTTCAAATAAACTCTGTTTTGAACTTTCTATTCATCTGTGAATCCTGAAAAATAAAATGTATCACAGTGTATCAACTGTTTCCAACACTGATAATAAATCAACATATTAGAATGATTTCTGAAGATCATGTGACACTGAAGACTGGAGTAATGATGCTGAAAATTCAGCTTTGATCACAGGAATAAATTACAGTTTAACAGATATTCACATAGAAAACAATTATTTTCAATTCTAAAAATATTTCAAAATTACTGTATTTTTGATCAAATAAATGCAGCCTTGTTGAGCAGAAAAGACTTGTTTCAGAAACATAAAAAAAATCTTACCGACCCCAAACTTCTGAAAGCTAGTGTATATTATATTTAATATATAATGTGATATATAGAGTTGTCAGCAATTCCGAATTGAACAGAACTATAGAATAACATTGAAGAACTGAATTTAGTGTCCATAGCAAACTGAGGGCTTACACACACACACACAGAAGAGAGTTCACCATCACCTGACAGATGTTCACCAGTGAGAAGAGATGAAATATATTTCTAAAGTTATGAATGTGACCCGTCCAGAGCTCATAATAAACCACTCGCCCATCAGACCAGTGAAGATTCAGATTCACGTGCTACTGAACCGGTTAAATCACATGACTAGTTACTTACCCTCTAACAGTGAGAAACACGTCTCCTCATCCGTCATATCCATAACAACACACTTCCAACACATTTATGCTTTCAAATAACATGCTAAAAGGAGAGCAAGTCAAATTATGTACAAGAGCTTCCCAAAACACATGATTATAATGATACAGTGAGAGCGGAGGAAGAAAACATGCTGATTCATCACATCTAGTCACACATTCAGCGGTTCAGAATATTCTCCTTAAAAACACTTTATTCATCACTCAGTTCACAGGTTAAAACCTTCATGTTCTGTCACTCCTTCGCACAAATAAAGAAAGCGCTTTTTTTCCTGGAAAGAAGAGAAACACAGTCAGAACCTCTGGACCAATCACAGCCAGACTTCAGGTCACATGATCTTCAGAAATCATTCTAATATGCTGATTTATTATCAATGTTGAAACTGTTGTATATTTTTTGGAACCTGTGATACTTTTTTCAGGATTCTTTGATGAATAAGAACAGCGTTTATTCAAAATAGAAATCTTTTGTAACAATATACACTAACGTTCAAAACTTTAGGGTCAGTATTTTTTTTTCTTTCTTTATTTGATCAAAAATACAAAAAAAAAAACAGTAATATTCAGCAAGGATGTGTTAAATAGATAAAAAGTGATAGTAAAGACTTGTTATAAATATTGTTATAAAATATTTTTATTTTTATTTTTAAACATCTTTTTAATAATCAAAAAATCCTGAAAAAAGTATCACAGGTTATAAAATAAACATTAAGCACTGTAACATTGATAATACATCAGCATATTAGAATGATTTCTGAAGATCATGTGACACTGAAGACTGGAGTAATGATGCTGAAAATACAGCTGCGCATCACAGAAATAAATT